GAGAGAGAATGCAAGGGCAACAGTGGTAAAGAAAGCTGACGACCTCTCTTGGGGTGTTCCATAAGTGGACATGCCCCACAATCATCTTTAATACAAAAAATGAAATAGAAGAAGTTGGGGGAAGGAGTGGGAGGCTAAATTAAAATGTCAAAATACAACAATTGAGGCTCCATAGAGTTCTGCACATAGAGAATGAATAGCCATGATTTCTTAGGTCTAGAAAGTTGTACCAGGTTTGGCCTTAAGCACATCAGCTCCACTGCAGGGACTACATCTCTTCTACCACTAACGAGCCATTCGCTCCTCAACTCACTGGGTCATTCTTGAGAGCACCTGCTTCCCGCCTGTCCATCTCCAGACAATGAGCACTTCCTATGTCCCTGGCCCCAAAGGAAGTTGAGACAGAAGGAAAGAAGAAAATTTAAACTGGACAAGTTTGCAACTTGCTAGTAATTCTGCTAAAAGGTTCAGTAGGATTTTTTTTTGTAGAAGGATAAAACAAGCCCAGTCCTTTAAGATAATCTTGAAAGGTAATGTGAAATTGACTTTATTAGGGAATTTTGATGCAGTTTTTTTTTTTCTTCAAATTTGGAGATGGGTCTTTCACTAACTGCTAATAACATCAAAATAGTAAGACGTCACAGGAGCCTCCCTGGTGGCGCAGCGGTTGAGTGCTGGGTTGCGGAGCTGCCCACAGCCTCTGCAGCACCAGTTCGATCCCCAACCACAGCAGGAGGGTCCCACATGGCGCACAGACCTCTCCTGCCGCCCGCTGCTCCCCTCAGCAGTGTACCTCATTAGTCTGCCTGCTCTGCTCTCTGCTCTGACTCTGGTGAATTCTCTCACCCTCCCGCTCTTCTGACTGTACCAGTGCTTGTATAAATAAATAAATCTTTAAAAAAAAAAAAAGGCCTGGTTTAAAATAAAAATAGTAAGACGTTACAGCACAAAGAACAGAATAAATAAATTGAAATAGATGAGACCCTACATATTCTATTAAGAATTCTGCATATGATAAAGATGACATTTCAAATCAGTTCATGAAGGATGAATTTCAGCCTTTTTATGGACTAAGTGGTGTGGGAATAACTAGAGTATGTAAGGGAAAAAATTAACTCAGATTCCTTCCTAGTGCCATATAGCAAAATAAATTCCAGATATTTTATAGTATTAAAAAAGGTGATGCTATAGAATAATTGGCATAGAGTTAGATATTTTGACTCTATATAAACATAAAGGCGGGCCTCCCTGATGGTGCTAGGGGTTAAGCACCGCACTATGCAATCCACAGCCTCTGCAGCACAACTTCAATTCCTGGCCGGCCAGAGAGAAACCCACATGGCGCAGTAGACCTCTCCTGTCTCACCCGCTGTGCCCCTCAGCAGTGTATTTCAGTCAGTCTGCCTGTTCTGTTCCTCACTCTGTCTCTAGTGAAGCCTCACACCCCCCGCATCTCTGGCCTGTACCCCAGCTCTTGTATGCATAAATAAATCTTAAAAAAAAAACAAACATAAAGGCAAAAGAGATATAATTAAGGAAATAAAAATGAAAGTAACAGAATTAAAAAAAACTGGGGAAAAACTATTGCAACTACACAATAGAAGGGTTATAGCTTTAATAAAGGAAGAGCTTTTCCAAGTCTATTTTCCAATAGAGGACAATAACATTTCCAACAGAAGAATGGACAAAGAACACGAATGGATAAACACTAAATTATACATGTGTAGATAAAAACATAAAATAAGTGAAAATATCACTAAAATACAAAAGGATAAAAATCAAAATGAAATACAAATTACTGCCTGCCAAACAGGCAACAAAAAAAAGTGCAGATGATGACATTGTCCAATGGTGGTGAGGGGTAACATGCAATGGTGCTGGCAGAAATATAAGGAAGCACATGCTACACAGAGAGCAAAGAATGGAGACTGTCAGAAAGCTTTGGGACAAAGATAAACTATTATTTTTGTTGTTAAAAATTATCATTAACCCAAATTATCAACAGGTTTAATATGCTGAGTACTATAATGATATATTACCAAGTATTAAAATAATCTTTTAAAAAATTAGTGATATAAAAACAGTTCAGATACTTCAGAATAAGTTACAAAATATTACCAACACAATCTCAGTGAGGTTAAAATTTTTAATAAGGAAAAAAAGCAATTATTAAAAAAACCCCAAACATAACATTCTATGGGATTATGGACGCTTTTTGTAATCTAGACCAAAAAACCCCTAGAAAATGATACATCTCTTCCTTATGGCTTTATTAGCCAATATGTCATTTTAGAAAATGCTGCTACTTTCTCTTAGCAGCTCGGGTAAGGCATCTGATGGGAAAATAGTTGAAGCAGATGATTCCCATTACCTTTATTGATCAGTTAGCTTTAAGGAAATACAGCTGTGAGAATATGCAAAAAGATCTCAGAATAAGAGCATTTTTGAGGTGGCCAAGTGCCATTACAATTTTTATTTTTCATTATTTTCGCTGAAATAGGAAGAAGAAAAAAGACCGAGGTCTGGTTCCCCAAGGATGGCTAACAGTGGGTGGTGAGGTCTGGGTGAGGTGAGTATTCCCGGAAGGGCTCTTCAACCCTGTGGAAAGCTGCTTCCACTGGACCTGGAGTCCATTAGCACATGGGGTTCTAGGGTGTAAAGAACAGTAAAGGGAAACCAAAGAGTAGTATTTTAATTTTTTTTTTTAATGCTCTCTTATGTTAAGTTGTGTTGGGGAAAGGAGGGAGCACAAAATAACAATTAAAAAAAAAAAAAAAAAAAAAAAGAGGTAAAGGAACTCAACCAGAGGCCTGGCCCAGGTACAGGCAATTCTAACAGCATTTCAATGAAAAGAAAGGCACCTATGAGAAATCTTTAACTTGAACCAAACGTGAAACTGCATTCAAAGCAACCAGCCTCATTCACTACTGCTGAAAAAGGGAGAACATAAAGGAAATAAAATAATGCAAGTGCTTGGGTAATATACCCTGAGTGCTGGCGTGGGGAGAGGTCCAGGAAAAAGGGGAAGTCTTCAGGGCGCAAGGTCTCTGTGAGGTCTGCCTTCATGACACTGAATTTAAATCTCTGCCACGTATGGGTCATTATCTTGAATCTGAAAACCACTGTCCTCCGGGGTACTGCTTCAGAGCCTCACACTGCTCCAGTCCTCCCTTTCTAGTTACTCTATCAAGTTCCACACACAACTGCCCTCCATCCCAGAAGATGCTGAAAATCCTCCTGCTTCAGGCCTGAACAACGTCCAAACTGTTCTTAGAAGAGTCATCTGTTAGTGGGATTTATATTTAAACCATAGTATGAAACCTGGGATGTATTTCCCCCTTGCTTGTGCCCCCCAGTACCCTGCCCCTAGGGACCATTTCCAAAAAGTGCCTTGTTCTGCACCAAGAGGGTCCTTGCACTTACCTATAGATTCATTGATTTGTAACACTGAGGCTGGGAAGAAGCTATAACTATAAAGTAGTCAGTCTCACTCAGATGGGTCAAGACCATTATAAGGGATAACAAAGTCACCTCCCAAGAGCACACAGGGAAGTACTCTTAATAGTTCCATAGTGAATAAAAGCAACTACATTTCTGAAAAAAGTGACATGGCCAGATATCCTACTTTCTCTGTTCCAGGTAGGTTAGGACTACCATGAGCAATAGGAAAAGGTAAGGAAATAGGAGTAGGATTCTAGCTTAAAAGGGAGGTTTTCCTTAATTTCATCTATTATGGTTTATTTAATCTTAAGCATATATGGCTACAAGATACCTTCGTCCTGCAGTGTTCTGGCTAAGATCAACTCTCCCTCTATACCCCCAGCTCTACAGATAAAGCAAGTTGTAGATGCAGTATTGTTTTTGTTTGTTTGCTTTTTAAAGAAAATGAGTGTCAGAAACCACAATGTGTCTTCACATTTCTTAGGCTATCCTTTCCTGGGAGGATGAAATACTTTCTTTCCTCCCCCTTCTAAAGGAGGACTGTGTCTTTCTTCAAAGACCCTTCTAACTAACATCTTATTCAGATCTTAGAGACCTATCCTAAAAGAAGGCCAACCACTTTTCTTTCAGGCACTGATGCTGTTAGGAACTTTCCAACTTGAAAACATTTGCTATTGTCTAAGTATATATGTATTCTGAAGAGTTTAATAAACAATCACACAGAGCCTCACAGAACAGGGCTGGTCCTCCTCTTTGACCCAGCCGTCTGAGGCCCTTCCCCTGGCAGCCCAAGTGTTGGTAACTGACTCTCAGAGCCCGCAGAAGTGGATCCAAAGATGTCTGGCGCAGAGTTTTTGCGACCAAATTTCTATGAACTTATCCCTTTTGTTTATGTTTATCCCTTTTGTTACTGCTCCATGTCTGGAGCAGTAAGTTTTTGTGACCAAATTTCTATGAACTTATCCCTTTTGTTTATTCGGGGTATCCCTGATAGTCAGGCAGTTAAAGAGCAGGGAAAGAAGGGCAGAGTGGTGGCATGCTATCGGTTAAATCCAGAGGTCCTTGCTGATGTCACATATAATAGGAAACATAACCTAAAGCACCAACCAGAAAAGCACCTGCATCATAGTCTGGTGACCACCTTTTTGGAGATAGAACATTATCCCCTACCGAAATGCACCCACCCACAGGAGAGTCTCTGCTACAGTAAAGGCCACTGATTTACACTACCCACAGGAGAATAAAGGAACAAATGTGTCCCATGGCAGATTTCAAGGTACTTCTCAGCAAGTCCTGTCACAGCAGAATAGTCACTTTTCAAATAAGCAATTCAGTTAGGTAGCCATTATCATGGCATTTTCCTTTCAGGAAACCCCAAGTCTCCTACTAGTGAAAGGAATCAGAAGCTCCTAGAACCTTCCTAGGCATCAACTGCCTACCAATAAATAAAAAATCAAATCAAAGCTCAACCTCTTTCTGAAGGGTTTGTTGTCAGTCATGTCATGAAGGTTTAAGTGGAAACAGGGAAGAAATTCAATAAAATATTTATGCTCTCTTACCATTAGCATCTTGAACTCCAGTAAGTGCTCCGACGGCTGCTGCGGTTTCCCCAGACAGGACGATTTGTCCCCCTCCCTGCAAGGTGGCCTCGGCCAGGGTGGCGACAGCATGGGCGGCAGCTTCACTGTGGGTACAGAACAGGAGAAAGGGGATGTGTCAGATGAATAAAGAATACAGCTCTGCAGCAAGACACACCTTCCTTTCACCCCTCCCTGGATCTTTCTACCACTCCATGGCTGTGAGCTACCACCAAATACAAATCCCAGTGTCAGTGGTAGAGTCAGAGTGATTTTTAAAATGATAATAAATAGGTAGAGAAATCCAAGTCTTACATATGTATAAAGCTAATGTGGGATTTTCTTTAAGCCTAGGAAATGGATGTTTGAGGACAAAATGCACTCATTTCCATCTCTTCTTTATCAATATCAACTGAGCACCAGCAAGCCACAGTGGAAGCTCTGAGCCACATTCATGATGCAAAAGCCATTTTGGTTGTCAATCACAGGGTTTTTTTTTTTCTCTTTACGGTAACATAAGGCAAGCCATCTGAAACTGTCCTTTTATAGCCAAGGATGGATGATAATAAGAGGAGTCAGCAACCTAGACTAGCTATTCAATTAATATTAAATAACAACAATTTAGTTTATATCCATGATCATCAAATACAAAGTAACGGGTGACTAATTTCCTGCAGAGCCTAACTCTTCCCTTGCCTCACTACATGTGGGCAGCATTGAACTGAAAATTAAATTTTTAAATTATCAGTATAAGCCCAAACTCCTTGACTCTAGAAATACAATGATATAATAAATCCCCATTCACTGCAAAGCAAACTGTCCATAGAATAGAAATATAAACCAGCTGTTTGTGATGTACACCAAACCTAGCAGTTTGTATACCCATTTTGTGATTCCATATGGTATTACAAACTAAGGTACTATATTTAATCTACAATGTATTATATTAATTTATGTACCATAGTTGGTATTAACTTATGTATTATATTAATTTATGAAAAGATTATAATTTACCATCCAAATGTCAGAGATACTAAAACGTGAAGGAAAAAAAAAAACAAAAAAAAAAACAAAACCAAAACACAAAAACCACCCAGATAAACTCACCTCTCCTGGGCAAATAAATGGTACCACTTCACACAGTTATTGAGAGAATATCCACAGTGGCATGGAGTAGAGGAGGTGGTGTCATTTAGTTTAGCAGATGGACCAAGAGCTGGGTCTACTCACTGCATAAGCAGCTGACTGAGCTTGTTGTTAAGCTGCAGGCTTTGTCATAACTATGGCAGCCATCTTGTAATCACAAGCCGTAGGTGGGGACAGGTGAGGGGCTGTGGTCTGGTTAGGGGAAACATGACTGTTTCCATCAAAAGCAAACTCAGATGGAGCAGTCAAAGGAGGCAACAGCTCGGTTATGCCTTTATTGAAATAGCGTTCTTCAAGAACTGTCAGAAAATTGTTGAAACTGTGTAGCCTATGGACAGCCAACAGTATGTTCTTTAAAGCTGCACTATTGCAAAATGGGTGTATCATCCATGCACTACTCATATACTATTTTTTTTTTTTTTGTACTGCTGGTCCTGTATCAGAAATTTTCTTTTATTATTACTTGGTTTTTTAATTTTTTCTTAGTTACTTAATCTGCTTATGGCACAATTTGCCTCAAATCCATTCCAAACTGTATATTTTGTTTTTCAATTTCCAAAATTACAATTGACGACCCCGCCTCAAAGGCAACATATACCAAACTCAATATTATCACTTTCACTAAGAAAGACAGCAGATGAGTAACTTTCCCTGGGGAAATCTTTCTGATAAGTATTCTAGGAAGTAGTAAAAGAAACCCAATGTTAATGAGAAAAGCCTCATTAAATATAAAATTCTCCTCGTCTAACTTGCCTTGCTTTTTAATTTTTATGTCCCTGTGTTTAAAAGCTATTTATGACAATGAAATCATGTAGAAAACTTATAAACATTTCATTAGGTATAAAAGAAAATTTACAGATAAGTTATTTCTTTCTATTCCTAAAACACAACTTTGAAAACAGACAAATACATCCTACATACACAGTTTAAAAGTCTGCTTTTTCTACTTAACATTGTATTTCCCCATGTGACTATTCTTTGATATTCATTCAAAATAATGAACTACAAAACTGCTGATTTCCTCATTTTTTCTAGTTGTTTAGCTGTGACAATTTTTAATTTCTAGGTTCCCTTTGACCTAGGTTCAAGGTCACGAGTATGTACTTTAAATTTACTTACTTTCTTCATAAAAACCTTTGGCAGGTGAGAATTCTATCACTGAACCAACCATGCATCAATCATAAAAACCTTTGGGATAGAACTGAGGTTAAGCAAAAAAGCTAAACAGAATCATAGAATTTATATGCAGGCAATGTAAAAGATAAAATCCTTCTCTGTGATAAAATACTTCCTGGTAACCTGATATTACAGTCAGTCATTTCACAGTATCTGGAATATGAATTCAGAGCCAGAGGGGACCTTGGATCTGGAATTCCTACTAAGGGCATTCTTTATGTTTTTTGTGGCAGATTTTAATTTTAAAGTGCTTCATAAGCACTACTATTTGTTAGAAATAGTAAAATAATTTAGTGACTAGAGCCTTCATTTTTAATGGTGAAACTTGTGTCAATAAATACTTCTACCAGCTGATTTTATAGTACCAATTATCACTAATAATAAAAAACATTTTACATTCTGATCTGACACTTTTGGGAAAGATGAAATGTATAATCTTTGGAAAAGGCTGCAACTATGGTATTTTGAAGAAGGAAGCTGGTATATGAGCAATATTTATATAGAAATAGGACCTTTGTTTATAGGTCACTCTTTCCCCACAGTTTAAATCAAAATTTACAATAATCTCAGGCCCATGATGATCAAAAGTGAAATCCTACCACACTGGCACACCCTGGACACAAGTGGTAGCGTGGATCTCACGGATGATGACGGGGAGAGCAGCTCCCCGCGTGCTGACATGTCGTATACCTGCTGTGCCCAGTCACACCATTTTATATGTATGTCTGACGCTCCAAGTATTTGAAATCATTTTCTTTAATACCTTTTTAAAATAAGTGATGATAGAAGAAAAGTTTGAGAACCGGCAACAACCTAAAGCAATCAGGTATGTCAGGGCTGAGGATCCCATAGCATGACAGGTAGGTGAGGTCAGTTATTTCATCCCCTGTCAGGGGCCCGGAGCAAAACAGCAACGGTAGGCTCTTACATGGGGCTTAAAGACAATGATGACTTCGGTGGTCAGTGGGCCTATTTTTTTCCATACCTAATCTAATCATTTATTCCAGACTTCATAGAAAATGATCAAACTATACTTTTAGAAAAAGACGAACTCTTGGGCCTCCCCGGTGGCGCAGCGGTTGAGCTCTGGGTTGCGAAGCTGCCCGCATTCTCTGCAGCGCCGGTTCGATCCCTGGCTGCTCCCCGGCCACGGGAGGAGGGTCCCACGTGGCGCGCAGACCTCTCCTGCCGCCCGCTGCTCCCCTCAGCAGTGTACTTCGGTCCTTCTGCCTGCTCTGCTCCCCGCTCTGGCTCTGGTGAATTCTCTCACCTCCCGCCCTTCTGACTGTACCCAGTGCTTGTATAAATAAATAAATAAATAAATAAATCTTAGGGGGAAAAAAAAAAAGAAAAAGACGAACTCTACATGTTGAAAAGGGATTAAAACGTTAAGCTACCACTTACCACTTAACAATTTTGACAAAAGTCAGTTCCAAACCTGAGTTACAAATGAGAAGTTTTCATCAACTTTTTGTCTGTTAAGTTTTCCTTTACGGGAAAAGAAGCAACTGCACAGTCCCAGCCCTCTATATATAGAGAGGAGCTCTGCTCTAGGATGTCCATTCCATTTTACTGGATAAATGCTAGTCCATTTCTAAAGCTACACTCTATTTTTATAACATCCCTACTTGTAAGTCAAGAGCATTTTCATTAAAAATTGGACTTTTTTTGTATATAACTGGGGTGTAGGCCAGAGGTGTAGGGGGCGTGAGGACTCACCAGAGACAGAGTGGGGAGCAGAACAGGTGGATTTACGGAAATACACTGCTAACGGGAGCAGCAGGTGAGGCAACAGAGGTTTGCTGCCATGTGGGTTAGTTCCCTGGCTGGGGATTGAATTCTGGATGTGGTGGTGAAACCACTGAAGACAACCCCTAGCGAGGCCCAAAAACTAGATTTTCTTTAAAAATGATTACTTCTTTTAAAAAACCACTTTCTTCACAGCAAAAACAACAACAAAAAAAAAAAACCCAACAAAACAACAACAACAAGAAAAAAAAACCCCACCAGCAACTTCAAATTCCTTAAGAGGAATCAACTGTTCTCCTACAGCACCAAGTCATAGCAATGCACACAAGAGTAGACATAGAGTAAAAACTGTCTTGGTGTAAACAACACAGCACAAATTTCCACTAAAAAATCTACAATGTAGACTCAGTCTACAATTATTTATCATGTCACTTTGGTATGCAAGGACTGTGCTGGACATGTTCAAGAACTGACTTTGCAGAAGGACTGTTGAAGAGGGATTTAAAATTAAGGGCCTTAAGGGCCTTTGTCCACATTCTGACATGTTATATGAACTTTTTTAACTGCAGGGTTGAAAAATAGGTCTGTCCTGCATCTGTTCTGACACCTTTCACCTCCCGGCTAGAAGACCCCTGCCTTCTTACTTCCCACCTGCCATTCCATGCAGCCTGCCTCTCTCTTCTCTGCCCACATCTGCTGTTTACAGTGCAGAGAGGTGCAGGGGGTTATGAGAGAACGATACTTGTTCCACAGGCACCTGAAACAGATTCAGGCTGGAAGGGGGCTGATCTATGAAATCACTTCGTTACCACAGAACTAAGATTGCTCAGCTTATTTTTCACTAAGATGACTTCCAACAACAAATTTTGGAGAAGCTAAGGGTGTATTTCATCCCACAAAGAAGCAAACACCAGGGGACTGTGTCTTAAGTCCCACCCTGCTGACATGAGTGAGCTACTGCTTTTGGAGTCTGGAAGGCCCTGATGTTCTTTAATAGCCTGCTGTGGTCTAGTCGTTGTTGCCAGGCATGGTTTCTTCACCCCCATCAGAAGTAGCAACACACTTCATGCCCCCAACACTTATCGAGGCATTGAGCTATCTGATTGCAAACAGATTTCAACATCTCTTTACTCCTCCTACATGCCACAGTGAACCATATTCACCTTCCTTTGGAGTAAACACTGTAGCCACCTCAGCTGCATCTGAGTTTGTTAACAAGCCCTCAGGGGAAACCATTACCCTCCTTGCCTTTAGAAATAAGCCCTGGTCCTTACACTGAAGGGAGTCAGAATGTGCCTCATATTTTCCACTATGTATAGGGTTCCCAGGACACGCACACTTCACTGGAATATACAAGGTACTGGCTGGAGTCTTAATGAAATCAAGGTTTCCAAGACTTTAACAAGTTACACCTAAAGATTGCCTCTTCCTAACTGGCCTATTTCTAATCTCTTCTCACTATAATCAATTCTGAATAGACAAATCTTAAAATATAATTGAAATGATAATAACTGTAATTCCTGAAGCACTATCTACAAGCTTGACATTTTGATAGGAGTTTTATATGTATTATCTCATTGAAATCTTTTTGATTCTGGGGCCTCCTTGGTGGCACAAGAGGTTAAGTGCCAGCACTAGGAAGCTATCCACAGCCACTGTAGCACAAGCTCGATCCCCAGCCAGGGAAGTGACCCACATGGCACAGCAGACCTCTCCTGTCTCGCCCGCGGCTCCTCTCAGCAGTGTGTTTCAGTCAATATGCCTGTTCTGTTCCCGACTCTGTCTCGAAACATCTCACCCCCCTGCAACTCTGGCCTGCACCCCAGCTCTTGTATGCATAAAAAAATAAATCTTTAGGAAAAAAAAAAAAGAAATCTTTTTGATCTGTCTGGTGAAAATTTATCCTCATTATAACGCTAAGGAGACCAAAGCTCGGGTCAAATTTCTCAAGATCAAAGTAGCAGAGCTAGAATTTAAACATGCTAGAATTTAAACAAGGTCAAGTTCTATGACCTTGATAGAACTCTTTTTTCAGCCACCAAACTAAACAGCCTCATGGAAATCATTTGTACACCAGCCTACCATGGCCTTCTAGTATCTATTACAACCAATCTAACCTTTGGCTGATTTTTAATATTTTGGAGGAGGTGATCCCCTGCTTGTGAATTTCTACAATGTCCATAGTTTGCACTACATAATTCAACAGTGAAATATACTCTGAGTATATGGTTCACTATGTGTTCTACTTTAATTGATCTCCTCAATAATTGCATAATTTCTTTGAAGACAACACAGTCTTTAATTTAACCCTACCTAGTAGGGCGATGTCATACTCATTCAATGACATTCGAGACAAACAGCTGCAGTGCATAATGTGGAGAGCAGTCCTACTATGAACCAGGCACTGATCAAAGTATTGCACATGTGTGGACTTACTCCATTCTTTTAACACTCCTTTTATTACCTTCATTTCAAGGAAGAGGAAAGCCTGGCCTGAGTTCAAGTAAATTACCCAAGGTCAAACAACACAGAATTGGGATTCAAACCCAATAGTCTGATTTGAAGGGCCACACTCCTAACCAGTGGTTAAAATGTCTCGGTCTATTGAAAATAAAATTGTGTCAGGAAAGAAGAAAAATGGTATGAGGATGATCTTTTCTGTCAACAACCAACAGAAGGGACCAAGCAGGGAATGATGTAATTTAGTTTTAAAAGCTACCTTACTCGAGCATCCTATTCTGCAGCACCCTTCCTAAACATGCCTAGAGGAAAAAAATCTCCATTATTTTTCCCATTTACTGAAAACTTGTTTTATTTCAAAGTCAATGATAAACATGGGAAACAAATTTCACAAGAAGTCATTAAAGTCAGTTCTCTCCCTGCTTAAACATGGATTAATAATCCTAACAAAAAGCAGTTTCTTTTATGGAGGTTAAAGGAAAACTAATCCTGAAGTCTCCTGATTTGTTGTATATCCTGTGGTCCCTTTGAAAACACAAAGTACTAATGGATGGAGGTGGAAGGGATCATGCTCAGTGAAATAAGACAGAAAGAAAAAGAAAAATACCGGATGGTCTCACTCATAGCAGGAATCTAGAAAACTTAAATAAGGGACCAGGAAAAAGAATAACTATAAGAAAGAAAATATCAAAATCAACAAACAACTATGAAACAGAGACACTCTATGGGGGATGGGGGGCGGGGAAAGGAGGGCTTGGGGTCAAAATAAGAGGGTTGTAATTGTATGGGGATATAAAAATAAAATTTAAATTAAAAAAAAAAAGAAAAGAAAAGAAAAAAAAAAGAAAACACAAAGTACTCAAACCTTGTTGCTTTCAGTCTAATAACAGGGACAGAATAGGATAAAGCAAAAGGAACTCATGGTCCTGACCAGCAGGCTTGAGCTGAAAGTCAGAAAGACTGGATTAGTTGGTTGGTGTGGGGTGGGTGAGGACTGCTTATGAACCAACCTACAGTATCTTATGAGCTAAAGAGTGTTAAGCCCCAAGCGCCAATCATGACAATCTGAGACACAGCATTTCTCTTTACAACCCCTAGGTTGGGACAGACTCGCCATCCTCAGTTATCCCCCACCCCCGCCTCCACCTGTTGAGAGCCATGGTGACTGTAGCTCCTTGTTGCATCTCCTGAGATGCTGCAACTGCGGCCTCTGCCAATGACGCCACCGCCTGGGTAGCTTCTGATGCTTGCGTCGTCTGGATGGTCATTTCACCTCCCTGTAACGTGGCCCAATTTTGTTCTACCTGAGGTAGAAAAGAGGTGATGGTGAAGAATCAAAGTCACATAAGGATTATGATTTTTAAGTCATTTCTAACTGCTGTGTGCTCAATGAATTATACATTCAGCATGACCCACGATGTATAGAAATAGTTTGGAGTATGCTGTCTATTGTGCTAAAAAAGAGTTGTTAGAGTATACATTCGAATTTGCTTCTATTTGCATAAAGAAATTCTGGAAGGACACACAAAAGAAGCCATTGAAAAGATTTTCCTCAGGGTATGTGTGCAGAGGGTATGTGTGTGCAGGTTGGAAAAGAGACAAACAGAAAGCAAGATTTTTCACGCTATACTTTAAAATATTTTCTGAAACATCTGGGTCATATCAAGGTATTATGTATTTAAAAATTAAACTAAAGATTTTCCAGCAAACCATAAATGTAATTCTAAAACAAATGTAAACTGTACAAAGAGAATATATTACAAGTACTCCAAAAGCCAAATATTTTTACTTATTTCTCCTTTATCTTTGCAGAGGTATTCTATGTGCAAACATATCTACACATGCGCTGCTGTTTCCCCCTTTCTACTCCCTCCTTTTTAAAAATGAAAATAACTGCATATTCTAGATATCTTTTTGTACCATGCTTCCTCCCCTCCCCCAAAAAATACAGTTCTGAAATAACTATTTTGGAAAGAATAAAACTGCTTGATTCATTCATGATTCATAATAATGGCTGCACAGCATACTATATAGACACACCATGATTTATTAAGCAACCCATCTCTCAATGGGCATTTAGGTAGTTTCCAGTCTTTTGCTATTACAAACAGTACTGCAATGAATATCCTTATAGACTCCTTTGTATATGTATGTTAGTCTATTTATAGGGTAAATTCCTAGAGCTGGTATTGCAGATAAGAAGTTACTTTGCATTTTTATTTCTGATGAATGCTGCCAAACTCAGCAAAGAATTTTTTTTTTATTAGAAAAAATTGCTTTCCTTTTGGTGGGAAAGAATTATGACCAAACAAAACAAAGCATACTATCTAGTACTAGAGTATATGAGAATTCAGCTTTGCTAATAAATCTAGCACATGGTTTCTCAACCTCAGTAGTGTTAACATTTTGGATCAGACAACTCTTTGTTGTGGGGCTGTCCTGCGCAATACAGGATGTTTAGCAGCACCCTTGGCTCCTCAGGTAACCAGATGCTAACAGCACCTTCCCCAGTGATGACAACCAAACATATCTCCATACTCTCCGTGGGGTTACTCCTGGTTGAGGACCATTCATTTTAGTACAACAGTTTTCTTCATTCTGGATACCCGTATCTTCAGTCCATTTTGCTCAATAATTAGTGGTTAAATGGTTTTCCTCAAAAACAACAAGCAGCAGGGGCACTGAAAGCCATTTCTGTTCAGAAACCTGGTAGTAATAAATCAGCTCAGGCATAATATTTCTATGAACTCTTGGATCTCAGAATATCAGCTGGCATTCTGGCAGTCCATGCTTCGCACCATTGGGGCCCAGTGAGTAGTTAACGTGAACCTGTATGTAACTGTGTCCCAAGAGAGTCCCATAAGCTCTAGGAGAGGCAGATATTTAAATGCCTCCTACTTTGGTTCTAGTACCATACTCAGTTATGACAGCACTTCTCAGAATATTTGCTGAAAGCTTCCCAGAAAATGAGACCTTCCTTTGAGCAACCCTTGTATTTGCCCGGAGTTCTCACTGCAGTGGCCAGCAAGCCTTCAAGGTCCATCACTAAGAGGCAGAGATATCTCATTTCCTTCCCTTAGAGCTGCAATATTGTCCATCCACAGAATCACAAAACTCTTGCTTCTCAAGGTAGTTATGTGTGTGATCTCATTATTCCAATGAGCATCACTACAAACTAACGTTGCTTTTAGACAGCAAGTGATGATACCAACTCTTAGATGGTTGATGATTCCTCTCAAAACTTGGGTTGAAGCTGGCCAGCCCTGGCACCTTTGCCATTAAATAGTCTTCCTCTTTCTAGAGCTGCTTCTCTATTTTAGCTTCCCCAATGTTGGCCTAGTGAGGCTCTCCCAAGTACTTACACTCCAGTGGTAACAGCTTAATATTTACACATTTAGTTAAAACTGTATATATAGTTTTAACATTAGAATGTTGCCATACAGAATATACTTTTAGGAAATTCAGTTACAAGGCGTGGAAAAATGAATGGATGGCAGTAAAGAGTGGAGAAGAAATAGGAAGAAGCAGAGGAAGAGATTTCTATTCAGAAATATGATGGTGATAAATAAATCGGCTGAGATGTTAACATTTCTTTGGAATTCCCTATTCTCGAGTGCCTCAGTTGTGTTTGCTTAAGCTCTTTTTGCTCTCCCTTTCCATCTGTTGGGAGCCACTGTATGGTTATTGATGCCCACAGTCACCATGTCCCAAAGAAAGGGCCACAAGCTGTAGGAGGGAAAGACATTCAGAGAATGTGCCATTAGCTTTTTTGCTTTTCTGAGAGTGATCTCTGACAATGAGGCTCTTCAAACAGGCCCTCCAGCTTTGACGACCCACCTGTGGTTGTTCCATGCTTTCCTAACGCCACACCCTAAAAGCGCTTTTCCCTTCAACAGGAATATAATTCCCATCTCTCCAGCCTTTGCCTCTTGCTCAGCCTTCTAGTCTGAGCTCAGATGAGACTAAAAGAGGCAAGTTAGTCCAGGACTAAGGAACCTCCTTGTATTCATAGCACCCAGGGCTGCTTCCATGAGATCCTTATCTTCCTGCAAGACTGTTTTTCTCTACCACTTATCTGTGTGCTCCTTAAAGGCAAGAGCAATCTTTATCTTCCTGTGACAATAGCACCTGGTTCTGAGAAAGTGTGTATGACTGGATGGATGAAGGACATGGTTCTTTATTCCTATTTTCCTACACTGCTCTTCAGTTTACCATATTTCATAAAAAAACCCACCTAAAATGAATGGTGCTACTTCAAAACAGTTATATGTACTGATAGTTCAAAATTTATATCTCTGATACCTTTGTACTTTGGGTTTTTTTTCCTTCTTCTAATAGAATCACATACCAATCTATTTCATTCTATTTCAAAATCAACTTTTCTCACACATAAAGCAATCAGTATTACCAATACCAAGGGCGGTCTTATCACACAACAATAAATTCTCAAATCTACTTGTTTTTGTAAATAAGCCATCAAAATTTAAATTATACAAATATTTTGAAATCAATATACATAAGTTTATTTCAAATAATTTAAAATTTCTTTCTTTGTTAATTTCTAAATGTCTATGTAACTCAACACTAGTGATAAAGGACTGATCACAAAAATCTGCAAAGAGCTGATGAGACTCAATAACAACAAAGAAAATAATCCAGTCAAAAAATGGGCAGAAGAGCTAAAAAGAAACTTCTCGGAAGAGGAAATGCAAATGGCCAACAGGCATATGAAAAAATGTTCAACATCACTTGTAATCAGGGAAATGCAAATCAAAACTACCATGAGATACCATCTCACACCAGTGAGAATGGCACATATTAAAAAAACTAGCAACAACAAATGTTGGCGAGGATGTGGAGAAAAAGGAACTCTCCTGCACTGTTGGTGGGAGTGCAAACTGGTCCGACCACTATGGAGAGCTGTGTGCAGATTTCTGGACCTACTAAACATAGAGCTTTCATATGATCCAGCAATTCCACTCCTAGGTATTCACCCAAAGGACACAGAAACATCAATTCCAAAGAGCACCTGCACCCCTATGTTTATAGCAGCACTGTTTACAATAGCTAAGCTTTGGAAACAACCCAAAAGCCCCAAAATAGATGACTGGATCAAGAAGATGTGGTACATATACACCATGGAATATTACTCAGCATTCAAAAAAGATAAACACATGCAATTTGCAGCAACGTGGATGGCGCTGGAAGGGATCATGCTCAGCGAAATAAGCCAGAAAGAAAAAGAAAAATACCGGATGGTCTCACTCATAGCAGGAATCTAGGAAACTTAAATAAGGGACCAGGAAAATGAATAACTATAAGACAGTGAAAATCAAAATCAACAAACAACTATGAACCAGAGACACTCTATGGGAGGCGAGGGGCGGGGAGGGGAGGGATTGGGGTCAAAATAAGGGGGTTGCAATTGTATGGGGAATATAAAAATAAAATTTATTAATAAAAAAATACAGTATATTAAAAAAAATAAAAAATAAATGTCTGTGTAACTTGTTTTATGACCCTCATTAATTTTAGGCTACCTAAGGTTAGGGATTTTATTTTCTTTTGTAACTACTTAGATTATTAAGTATTCTCAACGCACAGGGAGTAGTCAAACAGACTTGAGAGACCATATGTTAACAGAAGAGACAGCCCTCAGACCACCCTACTTATAAATGTAAGTAACTGTATGTTGAAGGCAGCATAGCCTGATGATTAAGAGCTCTCAACAGTAAGGTTGGATGACAAAATTATCTTATAACTTCTAAAAGCATAGATATTGTTTATTTTTGCAAGCTAACTCTCTGTTCCTTGGGAGAAAAGATGCTCAAGTACTGGGCAGTAGGATGTTTCTACTGAGTCACCTGATGTAATGTCCCTGATAGAAGGTCTTCTGTGACTTGATGTGGGCTTATCTTCCCCAAGTTGGTGAGCTATTTTGACTAATTATAGTTCTTTTGGTTCAAAACCAAGATGCTAACAACCATGTCAACATCTAAGAAATCAGAAAGCAAACAGGATCACCCCGTGAAATCTAAAACGTGTTGTCACTTTCTCTTATAACCTTTGCTTCTTCTCTTCATTTGATTTTTGTTTCGACAAAAGTCTTTTCTTCCTCTTTCTCTCTCATTGATCCCCCTTGCCTCCCATTTCCCTTGTAACACACCCCCGCCTCTTCATCTTCAAAGGGCCAACAACATTTTAGGGACCAGACACTCAAAAATCAAACAAGTTAGTAACTTCTGTGCACTCACAGAAAAGGGGAATGAGATGAATTTACAAAAAATGATTCAAATTACCTAGGAGAAATTTAAAAAATCTTTCCCTCACCACATGAGATATATATATATCTATATCTTTCTCTTGTCAAATGCACCCCTCCACCCCAAAAGAAAGTGTGAGAGGAGCTAGATTTTTTTAATACCTGACTAAATTTGGGTATTTACCAATAGGCCCTTTATATACATACTTCACTCACTCCTTGAACAGATGACTTTAAAATGATGTTAGTATAAAGCCATAAACTAAACGGTTTCTTTATCCTTCATACACATGAACTTTCAACTACATTAATTACTTTCATAAATGTGAAATTATTAGTAAAATCAGCTTCAAAGAAGTAGTCTCCAAAGTATTTAGGAAGTTGTTTTTTGTTTTTTTTTTTTTAAATAGTGCCAGAAAACATTCAGTAGGGCAATATGGTTGATAACGGTGAATAAGGCAGAAAGTTCCAACTCTATTAAATTTGCCCACCAATACTTTTCCTCTCACTCTGAAGGAATGTCCTTCAGTTTTAGTGTTTGAAGACTGATAAATTTTTCTCTCAGTTAATCCATACAGTTTTCATGTTTATAAACTTTAAAAAAGTAAATGTCCTGTTAACCTTTACCTTTCTACACTGAAAAACCAAATGTCAGCTCTTGCCCCAAACTTCTCCAACTCCCAAGGTGGGAATAATTTTTCCTGAAGACAGAAGTCACTTTGCAGCGTCTCTTATAGCTGGGCAATAGTTGGTTTAGGTCCACTTCTTTTCACTAGGCAGGAGCTCCTGAAGGGTGGGGTCCCTGTGGGCTGACTCCACACATCTAGCACATTCGCCTGTAGGACAGCAGGGATTCTACACAGAGGACCCCAGCAATGTTTCCCTTCTTTGCACTAGCTGTGAGACTGTTATCAGTTCTCTCCCTTTCTGAGATGCACAAAGGAAAGTGACTTGGTGGTATTCTAAGCAGAAATGCTCCATGATTTGAACAAAAGTGAGAAAATGCTTTTAGTTTTATATCTGATTCTGCTCTTTAACATTTGTTGGCTATTTTTCAAACTTCAGGAGTATACCACACTGGTACCTTTAAGGAAAAGTCTACGGTGATGTAATGAACGCTTTCCTAAATCTTCACTGGTGGCTTGGAGCTCAGAGCCTAGACAACCTTTTCCTAAATGCATTACCCCTGCTTCAATACTCATTCTGACTTTGGTAAGTCACCTAGCCTCTCTATAAATTTCAGTTTTCTCATCTATAAAATGAAGATGGTAACAGAACCATCATGGGAATGAGTACTTCACCAAGTACTCAATAAAAACAAGCTACATTCAGTTTAACATTCCATAATCATCTTGATTTTCTTGTGAAGTATTTTCAGAGGCATGCTTAAAATGTGACAAACTGGGTCAACTGATTTATAATTATATTTATCCCTTCATAGATGCTTTAGTTAGCTCCAGTTTTAATCATCTAATTTTTTTCCAAAGATGAAAATTCTCTGGAGTTCACAGCATAAAAATAAAAGACTAATCTTCTTTTATTGTGTATTATACAAAATGCTATATTGCTAATGTAAAATTATAAGTTCCTGACCTCTGAATCACAATGATCCATGAATTTCAATTGTTATAAATAATGTACACAGCCTAAGACACTTCACAAAACTAAGTTTGGTGTTTTGAAAGGTTAAAATAAAAGAATGCTACTAACGTGTAAGTTACATAGCATCTCCTATTTCATACCCTCTCCTATATATTCAAGTATTTCAGAAGTAGATAGAATCCTCTCTCTTACCTCTCCATCAGTCACAGCAGAATAATTCACTTGGGCAACAGTGACTGTGGTTGGCAATTCTGAAGCATCAGCCAATGTGGCTACTGTTGCCCCTGTACCAACCTAAAGAAAAATGTAGAAAGTGATACATGTGTCAATAAATGGGTCCTTCTTTACCCAGAGTTAAGATCCGACTGACATAAAAACTCAGCACAGGTAACAATTAATATGCCTTGTAAGATATCTAAGATTATATAAGATTATCTAAGACACTAACATGAATTTCAGAGTTTAACGTCAACCAACTACGTTAATGTTAGGAAGCCATCACTTTCCACCATGGGTGTCCAGTGTCAATCAACCAGCTTTCTCCTCTTTTAGTTTTATATCAGATTTACCTCAGAAGGTATGTGTTTTACCTCAGAAGAGGTAATTCAGAAGGAATATTCTCTGGTCACTGATAGAATGAAATGATTAAAAATAAAAAGCCATTTTGCGGTGTTTTGTTTTTAGAAATGTCCAGGAAAACTATTTGTAACTTTGTATTCAGAAACAAGCAAACAATCAAAAATATTCCAGATTTCAAAACTTAGTTTCAGGTAGGAAGGTCATAGGAGGCTATAAAGGTGACACAAGTGTTTACACAAAGAAAACTTTCAACAATCTGAGGTGAGGCGCCCACTGACCCACCTCAGAAACCACAATATGTGACCACAAGGTTTACTCACCTGGATGAGCGAGACAGTGCCATCAGGGTTACTAAAGGTCTGGACTACGGTCTGCGATGGTACAAGATGGGCTATACTGTGCGTGGTTGTGGCCTGTGTTTGTGTTTGCTGGTCTTCAAAAGCATACAAAAGGTCCTCCCGCCCGTGCTGTTTATAACAGTTTTTAACTATGGTCCGTAGTGCCTGCGTCCATGAAACCTGTCACCAAAAGACCAGAAATGCACATTACGCCACTGAATGTTGGTTATTCAGTCTACTATGGAGTAAGTAGCAGCTTATTTACCAAACCAAACCTCACACAGAAAAATTCTTTATGGTTATTTCCCATAACCTGATTCTGACACAAAGAAAGTCAGCACCAAATACCAAAGAAGGTTTCCCATTTGTTTCCTTACTGATCAAAATCTGGTTTAACTTTCAGGTTTTAAACCTTATTCTAACCCAAGGACAACTTTTAAACTTGTCACAAAAGGTTAGTTACTCTTTTGTCATGAATTTTATGTCAAGATTCTTAGTAAACTCCTAAGCCATCTGAAAAACATGCAGAAGTAAGGAATGATGTCTAATCTTTCTTCTTTTTTAAAAGTAAGTTTTGTTATCAGCAGACCCACCTGGTTGATTTCATGTGGATCCAATTCTATATTTATCTTTATCAACAGTGACACTTGCTAACCACAAAAAAAGACATTCGTAAGTCTTCAAAGTGATTAATACTTTTACTTCAAATTTCTTTGGTTTTTCCACTCACCTCAATAAAAACTGAAACTGTTCTAGAAGGCAACGATACAGAGGGAGTGTAAATTTATGGACTCACCCCAGCCCTCTCTTTACAGTGATGAAAGGATGAATGGGAAAGGCTATGAATGAAGCACAGAATACCTAGTTTCTTTTGCAGACAGACTTGACTGTTACACAAATGATTTTAAATTTTTTAGCAAAAGAGCTGGAAACAACAAAAACTGAGGTGAAGCAAAGAGACACCAGAGGAACCCTCACCCTCTGCTTTTGCTCTTCTGTGCGGACATCGCTCCGGACATTTGCCCAGGGGATATCTTCAGGCCACCAGATGGGCTTGCAGCTTTCTTTGCCCCAGCCTGGTTTTCCTCGGCCTGTGGAGTACTTGAGCATCTCTGGAATAAACGCCCGAAGCTGGGCCTGCAAGAGAAGAGAGTGGTCATCAGCAGTCATGAGATGCATCTATATTTTGGGATGCATCTGTATTTCTCACCAAATTCTAAGATTATGAAACAGAGAACCTTCGTGGAGGGTTCTTGAGAGTTCAAAATGTGACAGTGAGAAACCATAATTTCCCAGGTTGCTTCAGCTCCACGGGTGATTGAGAATTACTTATGTTTGCAAAGTACACCTGAAGCTGCATTTCATCAACATGTTCCCATAAGATCAAGAATATCTGTCCCCCAGTTTGAGGTCTGCCTCCTAAGATACTACTGATCCTTTAGTTTAGTTCCCTTTTACAGTTCCCCTGCATTACGGTGCCAAACAAAATCAATGTGTTCTCAACTTTGTTCTGGAGGTACAGAATAGTTAGTTAGACAAGGGAGAAATAAAGGGGTGAGGAGAAATCATTATTTGTAGATGATATGACTTTGTACCTGGAAAAACCCCAGAGAATCAAATGAAAAACTACTATAAGTAATAAGAGAAAGCAGCAAGGTGGCTGGTTGCAAAATATTTGAAGTTAAATAGGCCTTCAGCTTAATAAAAAGGGAAAATGGACCTATAACTCTTGCAGTTATTAGTAAGAATGTCTTCAAGTCCAGCATACAGATATAGTAACAAATACGTGTAGTCTTAAACCCATTATGGATTTCATTCAAATTTATTTAAAAAATCAAACCCAGACTGAACAGGTTTTAAACCATACAGTCAACTGCCATTCTTCATTTCCTGGCACCGTAATCACATTGTGCATATATGCTAGGGGAGAGGGCCCTACTTTGTTAATATTCTTAATTGCTGACAAAGATTTCTGGCAAGAGAAGTTGTTTATCGAGTTATGGTCTTATAAATCCTCCTCAGGTCTGATGCTTCCCTTGTAACCTGATGGTCTACAGCACATCTGAGATAAGTAGCACCCACACTGCATCTGCAGCTTCAGACCAGAGGGAGGGGAGAATCTTAGCAATGAGTTAGACTCAATGACAGGGGTTTGTGGCTGTAAAACAGAAAAAGAAAAGGAGGAACAGGAATACTGAAGTAGTAACAAGAAAATGAGTGCAGCAACACTTTTATATTAAAGATTCTATATAACTAGCAGGTGTTTTTATTTAAATACTACATTAGGGGCCTCCCTGATGGCACAAGGTGTTAAGTCTCAGCACTATCAAGCTATCGCCAGCCAAGTTAGATCCCTCGGGCCAAGGAGCTGACCCACATGGCGCAGCAGACCTCTCCTGTCTCGCCCACTGTTCCCCTCAGCAGTGTATTTCAGTAGATCTGCCTGTTCTGCTCCCCGCTCTGTCTCTGGTGAATCCTCTCATCCCCTGCACCTCTGGCCTATACTCCAGTTCTCGTATGCATAAACAAATAAAAATAAATCTTTAAAAATAAGTAAATAAATAAATACTACATTACCAGAAGAGGATACAAATTAAATGTGTAAAGCAAGTTCTGGTTGACAGTATCTACATGGTTAATTCTTCTGCAGAGCCTGCCACTCTACCTCTTTCTAAGTCCCCCTCTTCCAGACAGTCCTCTGCCTACAGGATATGATATAATACACTCTGTATATATTTGGCTCTGCTAACAGAAATGTATCCATTTGCAAACCCAGGCCATCAGTTGCTCATGAGGTCACATCTTCAGTTATTTTAAGAAAGTGCATCTCAAAGTCATTTTCCCCTTTATCCTGGCTTCTTAGGAGTGTCTTTTCCCAGCTATAGATACACAGAAAAGGAAAAGGCTTAATCCTTACAAATAATATGTTTATTTATACACACACACACATATACAAACACACACACGCACACACACACACACACTAAAGTGGCTTTCTCAGATACATAAACTAAATAAACTACTACCAGAGATTTTTTTAGGATCCCCTTTCCTCTAATCCTGTAATAGTTTTCAAAAGGAGAGTTCTTCATATCCATACCTAGTGGAGTCTGAAGAAAATGAAGAAAGCAAGTTAAACATCTCTACATTAACAAGGTCTGGTGTCCAGACTCGCTGTCCAGAACACTTGGCTGAGAGTATGTTCAAATTCCACCTGGGACCCCATATATTCTCTAACTCTGATGACTTTTTCAGTTTCTGATCCCCACTTATTTGCACTAATAGTTTCTTAGACTCCTCAGTTCTGGGCCTCCCTGACACTTGACTGTGGACACCTTTCGTCCTTTCTTGCTTTGGTTCTCTTACACCAGGTTTTCCAGTGCATTTCAAGGAATGCATTGGTTACTTGAAATACAGGCACATCATCAGTCTCATATGATTCCCCAGACCACTCCAAGCTACTAGACTTCTCAGCAAAACCTTTGCCAGCAGAACTACATTTCTTTCCCCCAGACATCTAAGCTCAAAACCTCAGTCGACTTTACCACTTTCTTTCATAACCCATCTAGGAACTCATTCAAGTTCCATTCCTTCTCCTTTGAAATCTCTGTGCTATCCATCCCTTCTTCTCCAGTCCCCTTTTCACTTCCACTTTCTAGCCCAAGGCTAGCTGGCTAGTCCAGCTGGCTTTCTTGTGGAGTTCCACATTCTACCCATCTCTTCCTCATCCCACATATCCTTGACAGATTTCCCTAGATGCTACAAAGCTCCAATGCTCCAAAACCTTCCAATAGCCTTTGACAAGACTCTGCTGTCCAGATTTTCAGGCCTGCCACAATCTGGCACTACAGTACCTGCTAATCCCCACCAGGCAGACTTGGTTCTTGTTAGGCAAGTCTCTACACTGTCTTATGAATGCTGAGTTCATTCCTGCTTCTATGCCTTTTGATATGGTCCCCCTACTGAACTACTTTCTCACGCTGTTATTCCAATGCCACCACTCATTCTTTAATGCCCCCAAAGTACTACATTCTTTGTGAAATATATCGTGACTATTTCTCTTGAGTCACCTTTTGTATAAGTCAATAAGAATAACTAGCTCTAGACTCAGAGAGTTTGCTCTGAATCCTAATTCTCTCTGAATCTCAACTGCAAAGTAGTAATAATGATAAACTTACAGGGTCAGTTGACTTGATCAGAGACAGCAGCTGTATACAAAGTGGCACTGAGCAAATAGCAGTTTTATTATTACTTCAGTCATCAGTGATCTTTTCAAGTTCAAAGAAAGCCAACTTTCTGAAATGGTTTTTTAATGTTAAACACACTGTGATGTACACAAAGACATGTACCCTTAGTTTTTCAAGGTGGGAATAAAGAAAAAAGGCAAGAGGCAGAAGAATGAGTTTATATGCATTTGTGTAAATCTGGCTGAGGATGAGCAGTAAAGAATGCTAGAATTGGGAATGAACCAAAATGATCAAGTAGCTTATTCTTGCGTTGAGGTATCAAGCTATAACCAACTGTCCCCAATGTATAGGGAGTTTAGGTGATTTATACTGCTGTGAATCTGTGAGCATTAAAACAAGTGCACAAGCAGATTAAGTAATGAAAATGATTAGAAAATGTGACTCAAATATAACCATAATTAAAGGAGGGCGAGAACAAGCAAGCCTTTCAAAGATGTTTTGTGCACTAGAAATCTCTGAATGAGCAATGTTTCAAAGTTCTAGGAAGAAGACAGTAGAGACTAATATGGAAGGCAGAAAAACAAACAGCAAGGGAAAGGTTACTTCACAGGCAAAAGCCATCATTAAATTAAAAATGGAACGGGGGTGAATTAACTGCTTGTGTCCAAGTCCAATTCAGAGATAAATCTTAGCTTTTCAAAGTGCTAATTATCAACTATACAAAATTTACCACCACATCTAAACAAGTGGTCATACCGGGGATGAAAGATACTCTTTTCCTTTAAATGCAAGGCAATAATCTGACTTCACTGAAAAAGGGCAATTTTCCGCCAGGCTATTTTTATACTGTCCCCAAAAAACAGTATTAAGGCTGAGGGGACTCTTAATAAGGGAAAATTAGCTGTCCAGTATAAAAAGAGTTAAATGATTCATTTCCAGAATTCAGCACTGTGCTCTCATTACCAGTTGGATTAATTACTGGTCCTGGAGAGTTTTGGAAACCCAAGCTACTCAATGTGCTTGTTAAGGAAGGTTGGTCTTTAATCCGCAGGGGAGACAATCAACAGGATCAGCAAAGGTAAAGCCTACCCTCTCAGGCTGGCCTTTAATTGGGCTGCAACAAGCTTTCTGAGCCTCTCCTTCTGATTTAGGACTCCGTTTGGTCAGTAAACCCAACCCAAACCAGCAGAGAGTAGAAAATGCCACTTCTTTCTAGGCAGATTCAGCAAAGAAAAAAGGTATCAAATTCATGCCAATGGCAGTCAAAGTAAAGGTTATGTAGTATCTAGAGGTGGTTTTATTTTTTCTTCTTTTTTAAAAATTAATTAATTTATTTATACAAGCACTGGGTACAGTCAGAAGCGCGGGAGGGTGAGAGAATTCACCAGAGCCAGAGCAGGGAACAGAACAGGCAGACTGACGAAATACACTGCTGAGGGGAGCAGCGGGCGGCAGGAGAGGTCTGCACGCCATGTGGGACCCTCACCAGTGGCCGGGGATTGAACCAGCGCTGCAGAGGCTGCGGGCAGCTTCGCAGCCCAGCACTCAACCGCTGCACCACAGGGGAGGCCCTAGAGGTGGTTTTCAATGGAAAGACTTTCTGAAACTCTAAAAAGTTTAATCCAGCCAAAAAAAGAGAAGTAATTCTTGTTTCTACCTGTCAGATGTTTTCTACTTGTCAATTCAGTGAAGTCTTTACTGTCCAACACTGTATTCTACTTACATGTTCCCAAAAACCTTTCTCCTCTCGTTCCCTCTTTCTTTGCCCTGAAGATCCTGATGTCAGTCTAGTTTTAATTACCAAGGAAAGGCCTTTCTAACCAAAATTCTTGTCAACTCCACCTCCATTGAAAAGGTTGGAGAATACATAACAAATTTAAAGAGAAGGCAGGTAAAATCAAATCATGTTGAAGAATTATATTTTCTATAGCCTACAGGAAAAGATATTCC